AAAAAAAAAAAAAAAAAAAAAAAGAAAAACAAAATGATTCTGGCTGAAAGTAAATTCATTTTTTTTCCTGAGTTAGAGTCTTACTCTGTCACTCAGGCTGGAGGACAGCGTTATGCTCCCGGCCACTGCAGCCTTGATCTGCTAGGCTCCGGTGATCCTTCTGCCTCAGCCTTCCAAGTAGCTGGAACTACAGGCACGCACCACTGCGCCCAGCTAATTTTTTGATTTATTGTAGAGATAGGTCTCTCCAAGTTGCCCAGGCTGGTCTCGAACCTGTGAGCTCAGGCAGTCCTCTCACCTCGGCTTCCCAAAGTGCTGGGATTATAGGCGTGAGCCCCTGCACCCGACCAAATTCAGTTCTTTTATAACATTTGCACGGGGACGTTTTGTAACTGATTTGAATACCTTTAAGTTATTTTTTAGTGTTGCTCTTAAGCCGTTTTCTTTTCCAGGTTCTAATGGTGCGGTTTGCGTCCTTATTTGACGCCAAGGAGCGCACGGTTACCTTCCTGAGTGGAAAGAGGTACAGTGTGGATGATCTGCACTCGATGGGTGCCGGGGACCTCCTCAACTCCATGTTCGAGTTCAGTGAGAAGCTGAACGCCCTCCAGCTCAGCGACGAGGAGATGAGCTTGTTCACGGCTGTGGTCCTGGTGTCCGCAGGTAAGCACGCTGGCTCACGGTCAGGTGGCAGCCAGTGTGCAGTGACCGCCTGGGTGCAGGTGGCTGGGTTACACAGGGGCGGAGGCCTTGGGGCCTTGCGGAGTCACGAGACCCTGCTCTTTTTGCATAATCAGTTGTTCCACCGAGAAAGTAAAGCCACGGTGCTGCAGGAAGAAGCCATGCACCGACCACTCTTAGACTTGAGTTTTTGCTCATCGTTTTTCCAAGTCTAAGTCTTTATTTCATGGGTTTATGTTTGGAGCAGTGGGTATTTCCAGGTAGGTGCTTCTATACAAATCTAAGTTCTAATTAAAATACAGTGTGGTTTACTTTAAATGTTAAAAACGTCCAGAGGTATCAGTATGGCTTGTCGCAAAGGTAGGTGAGTTATGAGTTGTAGGCTGTAGCCCAGCTCTGCCATTGAATTTTCTGTGTGACTTGGGTAATTTTATCCTTTTCAGTCTTGGATTCTTCATCCGGTCAAAGGAAGAGATAGGCTGGGCTCGGTGGCTCACTCCTGTAATCCCAGCACTTTGGGAGGCCGAGGCAGGAGGATTGCTTGAGCCGAGGAGTTTGAGACCAGCCTGGGCAATATAGTGAGACTTTTGTCTGCACAAAATATAAAAACAATTAGCTGGGTGTGGTGGTGCATGCCTGTAGTCCTGGCTTCTTGGGAGGCTGAGGCAGGAGGATCGCCTGAGCCCAGGAGGTCGAGGCTGTAGTGAGTCATGATCATGCCACTGCCCTCCAGCCTGGGCAACAGCATGAGGCCCTGACTCAAAGACAGAACGAAGAACACAACTTGAAGAGCCTGTTCATCAGTGGAGTAAAGATGGACACTTGTAGAGACATAATTTGGCTACCTTTTCTGACCATCTGTACCTGGATAACTTACAGTGTGTTTATGATTTGGAGCGGAGCTGTGTCCGTAAGGGAGACCTGCGTTCTTACTAATCCTGTCATGCCTCTTGCATTCTACCTGCTGTTGGCCTAAACTCTTGATAAGTAATTAGTGTTGGCTTGAGTTGATATCAGATTAATAACCCTAGTGTGATGAAGCCAAAGATAACCAAGACTTGTTAAATTCTTGCCTGCTCAGTGCTCAGGGTTTTTGTTGTTGTTGTTGTTGAGTTGGAGTCTCACTCTGTTGCCCAGGCTGGAGTGCAGTGGCACGCTCGTGGCTACCCCAACTTCTACCTGCTGGGCTCCAGCGATCCTTCTGCCTCAGCCTTCCAAGTAGCCAGAACTGCAGGTGCACACCACCATGCCCGGTTAATTTTTTGATTTATTGTAGAGATGAAGTCTCGCCAAGTTCCCTGGGTCTCAAACCTGCAGGCTCAGGCAGTCCACTCGCCTCGGCCTCCCAATGTGCTGGGATTACAGGCTGAGCCACTGAGCACAGCCTCTCAGGTTTCTTAAAAGCATTGGGCACAAACTTTGCTCTCCAAGTGTATATGTTCTGTTTGGGGAGGCAGAGCTACCCAACGAGCTTTGGCACTAAGCGGTGCAGTCCTGACCGAGGTCAGGGGATTTAGAGGAAGGAAGATGGACTCAGTTTGGAATGCGCTGTGGGGAGAGATGGGAGTGGGACTGACACTCAGGGCTGGGTTCTCGGGCTTTCCCAGTGAAGACAAGGGAAGGTGTGGGAGAGCATGAGACATGGCAGGGCGAGACTGAAAGGCTCCGAGCGAGGGGAGGCCGGGCCGTGGACTGACACTTGTGTCAGCTAAACTGAAATACGGGGCAGCAGACAGTCAGTGGAACTTCTTTTTTTTTTTTGAGTTGGAGTCTCAGTTCTGTCGTCCAGACTGGAGGGCAGTGGCACCATCGTGAATCATGGCAGCCTCGACGTTCTGGGCTCAGGTGATCCTCCGGCCTCAGCCTCCCCAGTACTTGGGACTGTAGACAGTACTTGGGACTGTTTTTTTGTAGAGATGAGGTCCAGGCGGGTCTCGAACTTCCAGGCACAAGATCCTCTCACCTTGGCTTACCAAAGTGCAGGGATTGCAGGCATGAACCCCACCACACTGGCCTAGTGAACCAGGTTTCTAATCTTCTTTCTTTTTAATTTTCTGGTCGTTGGCCACCCAACTCTGAATACAATTTTTGTGTTTTATTTCTTTCAGTTATTTTATTAGTTTTATTTATGATACTAATATATTCACATTCTTTGATCTGTTACTTTTTCTTTTTAAAGAGATCGGTTTTTCACTGTCACCCAGGAGTGCAGTGGTGGCATCTTAGATCACTTGTAACCTCAACTTCCTGAGCTCAAGCAATCCTCCTGCCTCAGCCTCCCCAATAGCTGGGACTACAGGCGTGAGCCACCACACCCAGCTAACTTTTTATTTTTTGTAGAGATGGCGTCTCGATATGTTACCCAGGCTAGTCTTGAACTCCTGGCCTCAAACCATTCTCCGTCCTCAGCCTCCCGACGTGCTGGGTTTAGGGACATGAGCCACCACACCTGGCCTTGATTGGTCACTTTTCCATAATCCCTCTTGGATAGTTTAGACAGGGTCTTCTCATGCTACAAGGAGGCTGTATCTTTCCCCTCCCTTCTGTGGTTATGCCATTTCCTTTATGTAGTCCAGAGTGAAAATTGTATCTTGTTCTATAATTGATTGCTTTCCATGCTTCGTTGATGAATTGATTGTGAAAACTGGGCCATGTCAGAAATCAGCCCTTGTCGTATTATTATTATTTGTATTATTATTTTTTAGTAGGCGTCTCACTGTGTCACCCAGGCTGAAGTGCAGTGGCACACTTACGGCTACCGCAGCTTCGACCTACTGGGCTCAGGCAATCCTTCCGCCTCAGCCTTCCAAGTAGCTGGAACCACAGGCATGTGCCGCCACGCCTGGCTGATTTTTTGTTTATTGTAGAGATGAGGTCTCGCCATGTTGCTCAGGCTGGTCTCAAACCCCTGAGCTCAGGCAGTCCTCTTGCCTCTGCCTCTGAAAGTGCTGGGATTACAGGCGTGTGCCACGGCACCCAGCCTAGCCCTTGTCGTATTGTGATGGCATAGAGAGTACTCAGAGTTTACCCTGAATGGGGAACATGGAAGAACAGGCCATGGAGGTCTCTGCTCTGAGCCTCTGCAGCTTGAAGGGGAAATGAATGTTCCTCATGTGTGACAGCTGGGTTGTTTATTTCAGTTCTCTGTCAGTTGCTCAAAGTCAAGCAACATTCGGGTCTGTGTCATCTTTAAAGTGGCTTTGCGGGCCGGACGCAGTAACTCAATCCTGTAATCCCAGCACTTGGGGAGGCCGAGGTGAGAGGATTGCCTGAGTCCGGGGGTTTAAGACCAGCCTGGGCACTTGGTGAGACCTCATCTCTCCAAGATATCAAAAAGTTAGGCCAGGCTCGGTGGCTCAGCCTATAATGCCAGCACTTTTGGAGGCCAAGGTGAGTGGATTACCTGAGTCCACGGGTATGAGAGAGAGAGAGAGAGAGAGAGAGACACTCAAACTCAGGAAAAAAAAACCCACAAAAATATAAAAAACATAAAATGCCTTTGTGTTTTTTTGGGACTCTCTCGTTGCCTTCTGCTTTTGTTTGTTTTGGGTTGTCTGAGGAAATGCTAGATAGCTTTCAGACCTGATTGTGTGATCTCATCCCTACCGACCTCTGCCAGCTAGGCCACATTATCCTTCAGTACACGGGAAAGGTATTGGGGCACGGAGGGGGGGTTGTGGCTGCCATAATTTGGCGTCAGTGCCTCCGTCACACTGCTTGCGAGCAACTGCCCTCGCTGCTGGGAAGAGAGATCGCAGGTGTGGCGTTTGTGACATTGGAAGAGTCTTGACACCGCGGGAGGGAAGGCTTTTTTCTCCCTTTTGGGTAAAGTGACAGTAGTCACTTCAGTTGAAGATTAGGGACTGGTGCGTCGGTTTGCGGCCAACGTGCCTTCGCTGGTAGATTTCAGTTGTGTTGGGGAGGGTTGTGTGGGAGGCATTCGGCTTCCCTCCTGCAGGACGTGGGTCTGCTCAGAGGACTCAGACACACTGGGTGGGTGGCGAGCCCACCGAGGACGCAGAAGAAGGCGTGTCACTGGCACAGCTGCACGTGTAGCTGTGGGACACTGAGTGCACACTCAGGAGCTGGGTTTCCACTTGAACGGTAGCGTTCTGATGCCGCAGTCCTCAGCCGGGCTGTTGATGCGCCCGCCGGGTTGGTAGTTGGGCTCTTTGGCCTCGACATCGTCGAGAGCACAGCTTTGAAAATAGAGGCTTTAGGAAAATTGGACGGGATTGACGTTTTCCGGTGGAGGCACCCCCTTCCTTGCAGTTTTGCGTTGTGTAAAGCAGCGTTGGTCTCCTCGACAAAATGTTCGCTAAGGACCAGCTTCTAATTCTGGCTTCGTTAACTTCACTCAGATATCCGTCCCCTTATCTTTCTTTGCCCATCTCGATTATTTGTGTGGGGATCCCTGCTGTTGTTGCTCAGTTTTTGGCGTTATAAATTATTGATCATGTGATTGAAATCAATTATAGTCATGTGCTGCTTAATGACCGGGATATGTGCTGAGAAACCCATCACTGGGTGGTTGTGCAAACATCATAGTCACGTGCCCAGATGGTGTAGTCGCAGGCTGCATGGTGTGGCCCGTGGCTCCTTGGCGGCAGACCTGCACAGCCTGTGACTGTGTGGGTAGTTGTGACACATGAGTAAGTACTTGCGTATCTGGAGGTATCTAAGCCTGGCAAGGCACAGTCACCTTTTGGAATGAGGGCTGAGAAGTGGTCCACGTGGGTAGGGCGCTTGCCAGGAGAGGAGCTTGTGGGATCAGAGGTGGCCAGGTGTCAGGGAGGGAGTGGGGAGAGAAGGGGAAGCCGCAGGACGTTGCTGCGTGGCACTGCGGACCGGAAACACTGTGCTCTGAGGCAACTCTCAGGTAAAAAATATTTCGTCTTCAGTAATAAATTTGCTTACCGTAACTGTTTTGCTGTATAAACTTTTTTTTTTTTTGAGTTGGAGTCTCACTCTGTCACCCAGACTGGAGTGTAGTGGCCGCTCCCGGCCACCGCAGCCTCGATCTGCTGGACTCCGGCGATCCTTCCGCCTCAGCCTTCCGAGTAGCCGGAACTACAGGCGTGCGCTGCCATGCCCAGCCGATTTTTTTGATTTATTGTAGAGATGAGGTCTTGCTGCCCAGGCGGGTCTCGAACCCGCAGACTCAGGCAATCCACTCACCTCAGCCTCCCAAAGGCGCGGGATTACAGGCTGAGCCACCGAGCCCGGCTGCTTTATAAACTTTTAATACGTTTTTAAGCATTTGGCTTTTTTGGAGTACTACTTAGCACCTGACTTACAAACTTTTTTTCCTTGTTCTTTTTTTTTGAGTTGGAGTCTCACTCTGTCGCCCAGACTGGAGTGCAGTGGCTGCTCCCGGCCACCGCAACCTCGACCTGCTGGGCTCTGGCGATCCTTCCGCCTCAACCTTCCAAGTAGCCGAAACTACATGTGCGTGCTACCACACCTTGCTAATTTTTTATTTATTGTGGAGACAAGGTCTCGCCAAGTTGGCTGGGCTGGGCTGGTCTCAAACCCGCGGGCTCAGGCAATCCACTCGCCTTGGCCTCCCAAAGTGCTGGGATGACAGGCTGAGCCACCAAGCCCGGCCTCTATTTAAAAATATTTTTTTTCCTTTTTAAACTTGGGTGCAGTGGCTCATGCCCGTCATCCCAGTGTTTTGGGAGACTGAGTCGGGAGAATTGCTTGAGTCTAGGAGTTCAGGACCAGCCTGGGCAATATAGCAAGACCTCATCTCAAAAAAATAAACACATAAATGGAAAAATGAGCCAGGGGTTGTGGCACACATCTGTAGTCCCAGCTACTTGGGAGGCTGAGGCAGAAGGATCTCCTGAGCCTAGGAGGTCCAGGCTGCGGTGAGCTGTGATCATGCCACCACACTCCTTCCTGGGTGACAGAGTGAGACCCTGACTTAAAAACAAGCAAACAAACGATGACATGAGCACACACATTAGCCTAGGCCTACACAGGGTCAGGATCATCAATGTCACTGCCACCTCCACATCCTGTCCCACTGGAAGGTGATAGCAGTGACTTCTTCTGGAAAACCTCCTGAAGGACCTGCCTGAGGCTGTCTTCCGGCTGACTTTGAAAAACAAAAGTAAAAGGAGCATACTCTGAAATCACGTTGCAAAGATAATACCTAAGGACATAAACAGTCGCTTATGATCATTCCCAAGTGTTCCCGTCCCGCACACGGTTGCGCGTGTAGACAGTAGCTGCTTCTACACCAGCATCGCCACTGACGCCCAAGGAGAGCGTTGTGCTAGGACGTTAGGATGGCCACTGTGCCGCCAGGTGATGGGTTTTCAGCCCTCTTACGGTGCCGGAGGCCCACCATCATGTCTCTGGTCTGTGGAGGCGATGTGGTGCGTGAATGCACTTCCTTCTGCCAACTTGGAAGCTCTGTGAAGGAAGGAGTTCAGGTGGTTGTGTTCACTGCTCATTCCCTGGCACCAGGCACAGCAACCCGCGCATGCATTCAGTGAGCGAGTGGCGCAAGGATGTTTGAAAGAAGAACGACAGTGGAGGGTCTGTTACCTTGTAGCCCTGTTCTCAGTGCTCCGCAGGTGGCCCTTTTCAGCTGCCACTTACAGGGGAAGAAGACCTCTTGCATGTCCTGGTAGAAAACGGGAGGGCGTGATGACTAGGAGTTGTGCTTCTTGGTAGAAGTCAGCCGTCTTTCTTGCTCATGAGAGCTTCCCCTGGGAACTGTTGAGAATTTCCCATGACTCTGCCTCCTCTTGAAATGGAGGCGCTATCCCCTGGCCGATGAGAAAAGTCTGCGCAGACTGCACAGGCCTGGCTGAGCTTAAGACGAACCTTTATTAATGGCTTATGCCGAGTCACTAAGATTGTGTAGTGAACTTAGTTGATACTGTGCTAAGTGAAAGTGACGACTAGGGGCATCCTGTAGGTAGTGCCACAAGGTCGCGTAGTCTGTTAGTGACCTATTACCACATGACAAGCTATCCCAAAACCTGGGGCTAACAAGTGTAGGCATGTATTCATTCATTCATTCGAGTTGGAGTCTTACTCTGTCGCCCAGGCTGCACCTGGCCAAAAACATGTATTTAACCTCAGTTTCTGAGGGTTGAAGCTATGACATGTGCCTGCAATTCATGGCTTCTAGGAGGTTGTAGTCGGCTGTGGACAGGGTCATGGGCTTATGTGAAGGCTTGAACAGGGAGGGATCTGCTTCCGGCTGTCTGTGGCTGTTGGCAGGATCCAGTGTCTTGCTGGGTGGTGGCTGAAGACCACTCTGGGCTCCTTGCCATGTGGACCTCTCCATGGGCAGCTCACAGCATGGCGGTGGCTTTTCTGAGGGAGGGCGTAAGTGCCTAAGATGGAAGCCATAGCTTTTTGTAACCTGATCTCAGAAGTGACATCCTATCACTTCTGCCATATCTTTCTCAGTAGAAGTCTCGCCCATTCGAGGACAGGATTACACAGGACAGTGAATGCCGGAATGGGGGATCGTTGGGGGTCATTTTAGGGTTTGCCTACTATGTGTGGAAAGTTGCAAGTGGGGATATATTCCATATGTGCAAAAATATATGCTACATTGTTATTATTTTACCTTGAAATACTACAACAAGGCATATATATTACGTTATTGTATCTTGCCAGTTAGAAGCAGTTGAGGGCAAGCCCTCCGGATCCCCTCCCACCGGGGGAGCATTTTTCTGTCCTCTCAATAATTCCTGCTTTCTCACTTAAAAAAACCCAAAAAAACAGTTGAAATCAGCAGATGACATCTAATTTTAAAAATTAAGGCCAAACGTGGAGGCTCACACCTGTATTCTAGCACTTTGGGAGGCTGGGGTAGGAGAATTGCTTGAGTGTAGAAACTTGAGGCCAGCCTGGGCAACATACATAGCAAGTGCTCATCTCTACAAAAAATAAGCATTAGCTGGGTGTGGTGGTGCATGTCTGTAGTTGGGAGGCTGAGGCCAAAGGATTGCTTGAGCCCAGGAGATTGAGACTTGGTGAGCTGTAATCGTTCTACCGCACTCTAGCCGGGGCAACAGAGTGAGACCCCTACTCAAAAAGAAAAAAAAAATTAGAGCCTTTTTTTTTTTTTGTGAGCAGCAATTTCTAAGCAATAAAGAATTTTGAGGGATCATACGTACTATGTAATGTAAATGTTTTATAATATAGTAAGTCAGTAGGAAATTTGGCGTTACCATTTCCAAAAGTAGTTAATTTTTGCTTCTGCTCCAGTGTAGACAGTCAGGAGTGCTTAAACTCCTGAGCGAGACTGATGAGCAAGAGTTCTGTTCCTGTTTAGTGCTGATCACACATCCCCTCCTCCATGTTTCCCTGTGTCTCCTCCTCAGATCGATCTGGCATAGAAAACGTCAACTCCGTGGAGGCTCTACAGGAGACTCTCATCCGCGCACTAAGGACCTTAATCACGAAGAACCACCCAAACGAGGCCTCTATTTTTACCAAACTGCTTCTAAAGTTGCCGGATCTTCGGTCTTTAAACAACATGCACTCGGAGGAGCTCTTGGCCTTTAAAGTTCACCCGTAAGGCCTTCGCGTAGGTAAACAGAAACTGATGTCCACTGTACATTTTGTGCTGAAATGCTTATTTATGTGTGTATGCCATAAGCGAGGACAGAAAAGACTTCAGGCCAGCCCGAGAGGGGCTCGGCTGTCTCTGTTGTCATGCAGCGGCCGTTCAGGTGGAGAGCTCTTCCTCCGCGATTAGACCTCGGCCGCATCTCCCTGGTAGACCAAGTAGCTGTGTCGCACTCAAACTGGAGAAGTTACACTGAATTGACTCACACTGAATGTCAGACTTTTTCATCTGCCAAAACCAAAAACCATTTAATCTCCCTGTGGTATGGATGTAGCGCACAATCACACGTGCACGAGGACTTAGAAGTTGCTCCTTTGGTGGTAGAAGTTCTGCCGAGCGCTGGAAACCTTGTTCCGCCACAGGACGCTGGATCTGGCCTTTGGAGACTTGGAGAGTCCGGGATCTCCACTTCTGAATCTTACTCTGCCACCTTGAAAGCGTGTGACCCCAGGCAGGTTACTTGGTTGTAGAAAATGAGAACCGATAGTGTCCCAAACGCCCCACCTCACAGAAATACTAAAAAAGTGTCTATACAGCATATGTACCTCTTGGGAGATAGCACTATGTATATAAGGTAACATTTTTATTATAATAATTATTCATGGTGGTATTCTTTTCCCCTAAGCATTTCTGGGAAGTCATTTCACGGTCCACACCAACCGTATCATCCAGGGCTCCTGCACCTTGTGGCATGTCCTGCTGATGGGTACGTGTTCGGAGCTCATGGGCACATCTGATGCATCGTATGTGTACATAATACATATGTGAATAGAGTCAAACATAAATATATTTCTTCACAATATTTTAAACTGTGAAGAACTTTATCATACAATAAACTTAAATAAGAGGTGTCAGAAGACCCAAATTAGGTGCATTTTACCTGTTGATGATGGCATAACCATTGCTTTAAAATGTGTAGACAGTAGAATACTGAATTGAAGCTCTATTTTTGTTTATTTAAGCACCACTTAATGTAGAAGTGCAGCAGGCAGTTGTAGTCCAAGTCCAAGAAGTCATGTATTTTCAAGTTCAACTCTAGTAAGAGTCTTTGGTTTAAGGTACTCGCTGTTTAAAAGCCGAATCATTTTCTCACCTTGTGCTGAAAAGGTTGCGTTGCTGCCCATCACACGTGCTGCAGCTCGGCAATGAACTTGGGTTCTGGGTTCTTCCTGGAGAACTGAGCCATGTGTGAGAAAACTGTCGCCATGGCATGTGTGCACGTGCGTGTGCTCTGAGTCCCCTTCCTTGTTTTCCTGAGTAACACTACAGGGATTTTGTCAAATTAGATTTAATCTGTCATTTGAAAAGTCATTTCGTGTGTGACCTACAGGCTTAGAAATGGTGTCGTCCAAGACATCTCATCTGCATTTCCGATAGTGGGCTTTGTCGTGTAGATAAGATCGGCTTCTGTTTGGCAGTAGGAGAAATAGCCAAAGTTGAGGATTTTATATATATTTTTTCATTTCCCTGGAAAATATAAATTAATTGGATTTCTTTCTTTTTTTTTTGGTAAAGGTTGCCTTCTATATAATATTTGGATTGTATAAAATTGCAAAAAAGATACGAGCCCACTTTACTGTCCTAAGCCTGTTACTCTTAATGACATTTGAGCAGAATGCCTTATTTTGTAATCTTGTTTTAACTTGTTGCTACTGGAACTTGAATTTCTGTGGCACTAAGTAAGTTAAAAGAAAAAAAGTTAAACCCTCTCATTATTAAGGAGGAAAGGCGATGGTGATGTCTGTAATACAATAAAAACCATAATTGTGATTTACCTTAAGTAGGTATGACTCTTATGGGTTATACAGTATATAGTTTTTGTGAACTCTTTACATGATAGCATTATCTTTTTATAATTTTTTTTCCTAAGATAACAAATGCATAGTTTTCTTCTATGGGAGATAGAAACAGCTTTTTGAAGTAATATTGAAAAACCTCAGAGATCATGTTGAATCTTAATTTTGCCTTTTGCCGAAACCTCTTTATAACATGTATCTTGAAAATAAGTCTAGGAATGTGTAACCGGAACTATGTTAGCACTGCTTATAATACTTAGGTTTAATATATACACTTATACATCTCTATATAGGTATATAGATTTGCATTTTGTCTTGTAAAATTTTATTTGAATAAATCTTCCTGTAGGTAATGGGAAACAAAATTAATAGTCATATGCCACGCACAGCGTTTCTATATTTGAAAATAGCCCAATATGAAACTTCTGATTCTAAAATTAAACCAGCAGCCTATTACAAGCACATTCTTTGATTGAGTCATTGGTTATAAACGTACTAAATGCAGAGAAGACAACTAATTCAGGAAACTTCTGAGTCGGCAGGACACTGTTGATTAATTAATAATGTACTGTATGAATTAAGTGATGCTTTAACTCTGATTTTACATTTTAAAGTTCAAATGTGGGCATTATGTCAGCAAACTTACGGGCATTATGTCAGCAAGCTAAAACATTTTTTTTCCCTGTGCTTTTAATGTATCTCTTTACATGATCTGAGAGAGAATTCCAGCTTTTAGAGAGCAGTAGAAGAGGGGAAGCTATCTTGGGATGCAGCTTGTCCTTATAGAGATGGTACAACTTCAGTCTAAAAATTAGAAGGTGGTTTCAGTGGAGTAATTATATAGCTTTCACGTCTACATTTCAGGAAATTACCATTGTAACTTGATAAGAGACGATTTATGTAAACATCATTGCAAAGCGAGGTATAGAGCTCAGCTTGACTTCTTACTGTGCACGAGAGTAAGTACCTATCGCAATTATTCTTTTTCTTTTCCAGTATAAAGTTTGCTGAATGTACAAGAAGAGTTTATCACTTAGGATATAGGATTTTTTTTTTAGGGGTCGGGGGGAGGGGATGTATCAGGAAATTGTTACCTGTAAAAAGAGATCGACTTGATTTGATCCAAAAGATAAAACTTGAAGCTATTCTTGAACTAACAGGGAAAAATGAAATGGATATTGTTTAACAAAATGATGGAACTGTATTGTTGGCAGGAGATGAGTTAAGTTTATTTTCTACAAACTGTAATTGATGAGGACATGGATGATATCTTCATGTTTCTGAGAAGTAATCTGTACGTGAGGGGAGGGGATAATAAATATTATTTCTAACCAAGAGCGGTGTTTGGTGTCTATCTGCCTCAATGTTGTTGTGAAACTATTTATAATTCAATTTGCTACTCAGGAGGCTGAGGCAGAGGGATCACTTAAGTCCAGGACGTTGAGGCCGAGGCCAGCCAAGATCATGCCCTCCAGCCTGGGCAACAGAGTGAGACCCCACTCAAAAGAAGAAGAATATGGGTTCCTTTGGGTTTTCTTCTTTCCAGTCTGTCTAAAAGTTTAGAAACAGCTGTAGCATGTGTTTGAGAGGCCATGTCCTTGCCGCTTCTCCCTGTGAGAGCTGCATGCTGTGGGTGATTTTCAGGACCCTGGGCTGTGTGGATGCCGGGGCCTGGAGGGAGACAGAGCTCCCAGTGCTGCAGTCTGGGCCCGACCCCAGAGCGGAAACATGTTCTGGGGGTTCGTGCTTCCCATGCCTTTCAGTGTGGGTGACTGGAAGGCTTGGGGTGGTTGCCTCAGATACTCAAACCGAGACCTGCCGGTGATGCTGGCTTGCCTGTTTCCTGACCTGCCCTTTCTGCTGAGTCTGCAGAATCGAAAAGGATCTTATAACATCCGAAAGCGCTGGATTTCATTTTTGTCTGTTTCATTTTGTTGTCATCTACTTTGTCCCTGTAGCAGCTGTTTAATTTCCTATTCGGACTCTGCAGTGAGGCCCATGTAGATGTTCCCAAAGTGGAAAGCCCCTACTTATTTTGTGTGTGTGTGAGAGAGTTCAGGGCAGGTAAAGTATTTTTATTACACGTTCTTCTTTTTCTTTTTTTTTTTTTGAGTTGGAGTCTCACTCTGTCTCCCAGGCTGGAGTACAGAGGCACGCAGGCTCACGGTCATCCCAGCATCAACCTGCTGGGCTCAGGTGGTCCTTCCACCTCAGTCTTCCAAGTAGCTGGAACTATAGGCGCGCACTACCATGCCCAGCTAATTTTTTGATTGATTAGAGAGACAAGGTCTCGCCAAGTTGCCTGGGCTAGTCTCAAACCTGTGTGCTCAGGCAATCCACTTGCCTCAGCCTCCCAAAGTGCTGGGATGACAGGCTGTGCCACCGAGCCCAACCAGTATTTTTATCAGAAACTTCAGGATCTAAAAAGTAATTTGTTAATGTTTACGAAGGTAAATTTGAGATGCCATTTGTTAAGCATGTGTGCCCTGCGTAGTGACACTGTGACTCTCAGCTGTGGAAGGACACAGTTCCACTCCTCTTTTAGGGATGGAATCAACCAGGTGAAAAAGAATTATGCTGATTTTCAACAAGCATTTCCTCATTAGGATCATTTTGGCATTTGGGCTGGGAAGGCCTCAGGCAAAGAAGCCTTTGTTCTTGAACTTTGAAAGCCAAACTAGAATCTCAAGGGTGGTTTCTAGTCTTGAGATTCCTGTTCCTTTTTCCCACTTATTAGTTCGATATATTTAGGACACTTTCTATATTTAATAAGAGTTATGACCCAAGTGGTTCTGTAAGCCCAAGCAGGAAAATCCTTCCCACCTGGCAAGAAACCCACTGACCCAGTCACTAATGAGACTGAGGTCAGATACTGGAAAACGTGGCCGGGCGTGGTGGCTCGTGTCTATAATCCCAGCACTTTGGGAGGCCGAAGTGAGAGGATTGCCTGAGCCCACGGGTTCAAGACCAGCCTGGGCAACTTGGTGAGACCCCATCTCTACAATAAATCAAAAAGTTACTTGGGTATGGTGGCACGTGCCTGTAGTTCCGGCTACTTGGAATGTTGAGACGGAAGGATTGCCGGAGCCCAGCAGGTTGACGCTGGGGTGGTGGTGAGCGTGCCACGGCACTCGAGCCTGGGCGACAGAGTGAGACTCCGACTCAAAAAAAAATAAAAAAAAAAACCCACTAGCCCAGAGTTAGTGTAGACAGCGGCCACCCAACACTAGAGGCGCTGTTGGCCGGTAACCACAGGGAAGTGGGTGACAGCTGACAGCAAGTGCTGGGAGAGGCCACCCTCCTGCCTCTAAAGGAGACAAACGCCCCTCTCGCCCGAGTTCCTTAGCAGCCGCACTCTCAGGTAATGAACCCTAGGTCTCTTTTATGCTATTTCATACATTATTTTTAAAAAGAATTCCTAAAGCTAGCATCTTTTTCTTTTTTTGAGTGGGAGTCTCACTCTGTCTCCCAGGCTGGAGTGCAGTGGCGCGCTCACAGCCACCGCAGCCTCGCCCTGTGGCAGCATCTTTAAGGAGGAAGCTTCAGGGACTCGGCGGGTCTGCAGTGCGGAGCGAGCCTCTCCTGCGGGGTCTCGGCAGGACCCCGGGCGCAGTCCCTGAGAGGCAGCAGAGACACGAGGTGGGCCATGGGGGCGGGGAGCGGGGCGACGAGCAGTGGCCGTGGATCAGCGGGCCCCTGGGAGGATGCCCTTCCAGGGGCGTGGGGAGTGCTGGCCGAGGGGCCTCTGCCGAGCCTCCTCCCTGGGAACTCTGATCCCAAGTCTTCCGCAGTTGGCCCTCCCCCTCTAAAGCAGTGTGGCTCTCAGCGGGGGGTGGGGAGTGGTGTCACAGAGGACGTTTGTCAATGTCTGGAGCCGCTTTCGGTTGTCATCACCGGGAGTGGGGTGCGACTGGGGGGGATGTCGCAGGGAACATTTAGGAATGTCTGGAGACGCTTTCGGTTGTCGCCACGGCATCTAGCGGGTGGATGGGTGCCCGCCTGCTGCTGCACGCCCTGCAGCCCAGGGCAGCCCCTCCCACAACGAGCTGAGAAGCCCTGCTCTGAGGAAGTCCTTGAAGCCTCAGGTTCTGAACCTAGCATGAGCCGACGCCCTTGGGCTTTACAGATGCCCGCCCACGATGGATCCACTGCGCGTGGAGACGTCCCCAGTCATCCCAGCTTCCCACAGAGGTCCACTCTGTTGCTGGCAGGGCACACTCCAGCCAATACGTCGAAGCCCAGTGGTCCTTTGCTTCTCCGACTTCTGGAGAGCCTATTTCTTTTTCAGAGCCAGTGCCACCTGACTGGCCACGGCCACCTCCAAACAGCAGTATAGACGTGCCCTCTGCCAACGGCACGGGCTTCACCCCTCAGGTAGGGGAGCTTTCTCCTGGGAGGCTCTCCTTCCCACGGTTGTCTCCTTGACTGGCTGGCTGATCTTCCCTTGACAGTGTTTCTGTGAGCTCTTGGGCACGGACCCCCTCCTCCTCTGGGAAAATGCCTCCTTGCATTCTCTAGATCAGCTTTTGATTGATTAATTCCTACCATGACTGTTTTTTTTTTATTTTTTAGAGACAGGGTCTCCCTTTGTGGCCCAGGCTGGAGTGCAGTGGCACGATCACAGCTCACTCAGCCTCAACCTCCTGGGCTCAGGGGATCCCACCTCAGCCTTCCCAGTAGCTGGGACTACTGGTATGCGCCACCACGAAGAAGTGGGGTGACAGCCAACAGCAAGTGCTGGGAGAGGCCACTGGCCATACCCAGCTCATTTAAAAATGTTTTTGTAAGCCGGGCTCGGTGGCTCAGCCTGTAATCCCGCGCCTTTGGGAGGCTGA